AAAACTTTATAAATTACAGTAAGAAAAGTATTTTTTTGAGATCGAGACACCGTGTAGAAGAAATGGTGGGATGAAATGCAGGAAGTTTTTTTTTGTAAAAAAATCCTCGGAGTGCAGTTTGTTTTAAAAATCGCCTTTTTTTCTTGGAATAAGACAAAAAACGGGCACGAAGGGAAAATAAAATGTTACGGAAGTGAAGCGAAAAGAGGGTTTTTTATAGTAAAGGAAGATAAATTTAACTGGTATAGGACATCCAGATTTTAAAAAAGTCCTTACTGGTTGTGCGACTAACTGTTAAGCACTAAAGGCTTTTCATTACTGCTGCTGACTGGGCTCTTTCTGACGGCTCTCAGGTAGGAGCTGTGCAAAAAAAAAAAGAAGAGGTGGAAGTACCAGGTAGAAATTATGGCCAAAACAAAAGAACAAAGATGAGGGATGCTTTACGCAACTTGTTTAAAGTATGCATTTTAAGTTTACCGTGAAAGGCCAAGTTAAGCAAAATAAAATATTTTCTTACCAGCTACTCTTGTCTTCTAAAATATTTTCTTACTTAAAAAAAAATTTTTTTCCGTCTTTTGCCTTTGCCTTTCGGCACTGATTTTTTGCTCAAAATCCTGGAAAACATAAATGATGCTGGTGACTACATAAAGATTTCGCATCCTAAACTAACGGTTTTCCGTGTTTAAAGGCATAGGAAAATGGATTTCCTTGTAAGTAGAATTAGAAAAGAATGTTCTCCAATCAAAGCTTACAACCAGCGCGCAGTAGTTAACCAATTTAGTGCAGTGAATATGAAGAAGCAAACTGAAGGGAACCTACAACAGCAATTGGCGCCGTGATGCCGATTTACGAAATCCGGCGTCGATTGATACAAAACAAGGATATTACATTTTAAGAATGCAAGTTACTTTAACATTAGCAAAGAAGGTTAAGTACAAGCGTTGTTCATAAACAATTCTTTAAAATAGAGCTAAAAAAATTAGATAACTTTGGATTGTCTTCTACTTTGCTGCGCGATAAAACGCATTACTGACTAGTACATCTAATACGTGTCCGCATAGTCAATGACTTTTGATTTTTCCTCTCGGCTCTTTTGTAGGAGTCATTTTGCTTTCATCAATGTTAAATTTTCTTTCTTGATTGACAGCGCCTATGAGTGATACATTAATGGTTAACTACCCCTTCTATCATTTATAATCTTTTTTATCTTTATTTAAGGCAGTCAGTGATGTTTAAAGCTTTTAGGGCAATACAGTCATTTACAGGCTTTGATGATTTGGCTAAAGTTTCTTTCAAGCCTCCTTCTGTGTTTAAGGTTGGCATAACATGTAAAGTGAAGTGAAGATAAATTACGATTATAATATAATGATCACACGCTTAAATTTTTTCAAACAGCATAGGTGAATGCTAAGTGGAAATTTTTTAAAATCCATTACACACCCACTTTATTTGCTCCGCATATTATTTTTTCAGTCCCTTCCTCTAGCCATATGTTCCGGAGGTGTTAGTCATTAAGCCTTTAAACATTTTTTTGAGTTATATTTTTTGAGTTCCAAACCTTCCTGATTGATTCTAGTTTAATCCAAGTCAGTCTGTTCAATTCTTCAAAATTTCAAGTACACTCATCAAAAGACGATTTGAAAAAAACTTAGTTGTAACATGGCCACGCTAACTGCTATTCAGAACTGCACAGTTATTCAAATACTTCCGTTAAAATGAAGGTATTGAAATATTTGGGACTCAGTTCAAATGTGGTTAAACATTTTATTTAAACAGTTTATTAGAACTACAGCGGGAATTAGAAAAGGATCACAATACAGCTTCTAAGTGAGGGGCACCAAAAAAGATTGATAAATGCAAATCTTCTTTCCCTCAAGTTTTCCACAGTTTTCACCTAATCGACTACGTGTTGATAATGGTGGTTGGTGATATAATCGTGATCTTTTGATAACAAAATATAATTTACCGTTTACATTAGAAAACTGAACCTGACTGTTTATTTTATATAATCGATGTATTTCTAGAAGAAGCTGTTCAAAAATATAATATTTTTTCCCAAATGTTCCACTAGTTTCACAAAAACTGTTATACCTATTTTATTTGTTGAAAATACGACGGTTTATTTTTAGACCATTTACTTCTATTTATTTGTAGAGCGACAAAGAAAAGAGCGACGATTAGCATAAATCATTTTGAAGGCGCAGTCAAAACCTAGAAAAAAAAATCAAAAAGAAGAAAATGTTAAATGATAGAAGAGTCCTGTGAAGGAAGTGAACCAGGGTTGGAAAAAAAAAAGTAAAAGACTAGAGAAGGCAAAAGATCTTGAGAAGCGCAAGTATCAAAAAAAGAAACACAGAAATAAGCAATAAGAAAAAACCATAGAGACCGTAAGACTGTGGAGCAGATCCATATTTTTTAAAGCGCAGATCAGCCTGAATGAAAGCCTCAGAAAATGCATTGGCGCAAAAACCAATTGAAAAAAAGTTGCTCTTTCCCGCTTGTAAAATCTGATGCAAAATTAGTAAGTAATCTGAAAAGTGTAATTCTGCTGGTAATTAAAAGTGTCTTCAGACACTTTTTATGCCCTGACTTCAAAAATCTATTTCAATAGAATTTTCAGTTATTTGGTTGAATTACCAGCTAAGTAGTACATTCCAAATCTTGATTTTGCTGATACTACTAAAACTGTGCTAACAAAAAAACCAGAACAAAAAATTTTTTTTGAAGTTTGTATTAAGTTGAAAAGTGTGGATAAGAAGAGTTGAATCTGAACTTAAACTTGAAATGCAGCATAGCAAACGAAATATATTTTGGTTATGATGTTTGAAAAGACAGTGCCTCAATAACCGCCGTATCAGCACCATTAAAAATGACAGCTATATATTGTGAATAAAGGCAAAGAACTCAGTATCAAGAACCGAATGGCCAGAAGGTCAATAGCTATTTCTGTTTTTATCATTGAATTTCTTCTTTCAGTACGTTCAAAGTTAGAAGCTACCTAAGTACTGCACTTTTCGAAAAAAAAAAAAAAAAAAGAACTTGGCTTATTCAAGTTGTCAGTTCGAGAATCCTTCTGCAATTTTGGTTATGCCTCGGTTAATTGTTCCAAACTACTCTGGCATTTGGTACAAGTTCTTACGTATTATATTTCCTCTTGTCAAAAACTGTTTAAAATTCTGCAGTTCTTGTTTTCGTTCCTATTCCACTCAGCCGTATTCTCAACAAATTTCCTATTTGTAACGTTAATCAATTTCAGCAAAAGATTTTTTTGGTAGTCTTTCTTGTTCGTATTACCCATCATTAGCGGATAACAACTTCTAACTACGATTAAGTAAATGCTACCTGTAATAAGATTTTAGAGACTTCACGTTTTTCTCCTTACATTTTTCCCGACTTACTATCCGCCTCTTTTTCTTCTTCCCAACAACTCCATCTTTTTAAGCCGTGTGCTTATTTTGTTCTAAGCAGAAATTACTCATTCGCGGCGCAAATGTTTCAGCCAAACACAGCGTTATACCAATATTGAGAGAATGTTTCTGTTTCTTTTAATCAGTACTATCAATAAAAGGTTATGCTTTACAAACAGTTGTCCCTTCTTCTACAGTTTAATGTATCTTGAAAAAAAGATAGTTGTTCAAGAGAGTAACGTAGAGACCAAACTTTAGTTGCAAAACTTCAAACTTCAAAAAATTCTTTTATTTGTTGTATAATTTCATTAAAATTACTAATAAAACTGCATTTAAGCAGTTTTTATTCCATTCCTCTGTCATAAAAAACTTTAAAGTTGAAGCGAAAATGACCCATCGATTGTTAGAGATTCTGAGTTCCTTTGATACGTTACTTTGTAATCAAATACAACCTGCAAAAAATTAATATCATTAAAAGTTTTTAAAATACTAAAGTCCAGTTCTTTTTCTGAGAGAAAAATCTTTTTTGACCTCACTTTGAACACGGTCTTCCTGAGGTATCCACATATAAAATTACCTTTAATATGCTAAGAGACTTGAGAAAAATACAAGTCACTAAATTTTTAAGATAAGCAGCGTCAAAAAAGTTCAAAAATGAAAACTACTAGCTTTTGCTTTGTAAACTACCTCATTTTCAACATCAGTTAATGGATATACTAGAAAAATTTGGCTAATGATCGGTTGAGCACATAGCGGGTTGAATGCCGGTAGATTACTGTTCTGAGCACTC